GCGTCAAATGACGATTTTAACGGAATTTGGTAATTTGCATATTTCTTTGAAATAAAAGTATATTTTGCCAAAAAAACTATCCAGTAGTTTTTGTCATGCCCTAGCCTATCTACCATAAGAATATGAGCGAAATCGAATTTTCGACCCTTGCCGAGTTACTTTCCATTTTTATGGACAGGGACTCTTAAATAGATTTGATACATACCTATCCATTTTATTGATTTATCTATCGATTTATAGGTAAATAGATTTCGAATCTATTTATTAAAACAATCATACTATCCACTATAAATCAAGAAAATGTAAATATGAGTACCTCTAAATCCCATTTGACCAAGAATTGCAAATCTAAATATTAACTTAAGTCAAAATCAAAATGCAAGTTGTAGTTGTCAACGACTTTTACGAAAAAAAAAGATAAATGAAAAAAGACGGCGAATTGTAAGCTCGGTAATGAAATGTGAAAATGACCTTGCTCTCTATGAGTTCTCGAAGTTCAGTGGATAGAGCGCCCGCCCGGTGTTCGGGAGGTCATGGGTTCGATTCCCGTCGGGGACTCAGATTTTCTCTTTGTCCCACGCTGATGCCATGTTGGTCAGTTCATTTTCTCAAAATAAAAGATGTTGGAAGTAACTGGAATCGTTTATGAAACAAGCCAGTATGCCAGGAAGCTAGCTGAAAGATTCAACCAAGAAAAAATCACCTCCAATGCCTCCTCACAAGCACAGGAGAAAAGAACCAAGTCCAAGAAGTGTCGATCTTAGAACTTGTTCTCTACTTTAAATGAACACAAGTGGTAAAACCCGCGTTTTAATTTAAGTTTGCGTTAACGATACGACGTTGGGCTGGCCTCTCCGACAAGTGAGCGAAGCACTGGAGATCTCGGTACCCATAAATTACACTCTTGAATGGTTGCAGTCCTTCTTCAAGAACGTTATCAAACTGAAATAGATTAAATGATGAAGTCAGAATTTGTACTTGAAGAAGAGAAAATCTCTTTTGACTTGAAGTAATGCTAATGCGAAGCCAAATAACTGACAAACACAAATAGAAAATGACCGGTGATTGTTGCGTTTTTAAATTCCTCCGGCGTAGTGTGGACCGAAAACGTGTGATGCGTTTTCAGAGTGAAACCTCCGCTTTCAAATTCCTCCGACGTAGAGTCTTAATTAATGAGTCGAGATTGAAAGCAATTATTGATACAGTTGATCCCCCATTTAGGGCTTTCACCTTGGTTTTGCATCAATAGGCTTTGTTGGTTTACAAAACTCTCGTTCCTGTTTTAAGCAGTCAGTTCAGACGTTTTCCTACGCTTTACGCCGTCTTCATGTCTTCACTTCTAGTTTTGATCGGCTTACTGGTTGGTCTGTGCGCGTTAGGTTCGTTTGGCCATATAATAACTGTGGTTTAGGTCAGTTTAATTTACAACACCCACTTGAAAACCTCTCTACATTACGGCGGTTTTTGGTTGAGTGTCATCCAATCAGACGCAGAACTAAAACCAATCATGTCTCGCTCGCACGGCCCGCCCACGTTTTCCCGAGCTTGGCATCTGTATGAGTTTTGATTGGTTCATTGGACTGTCCGTGTCCTTTGTGATAACTTTGTACTGGTTTTACGACGCTCGATTGAAAACTGCTCTATGGTGTCGTAATATGGAAGATAAACGTTTGTTGATTAATTCCGAGACAAACCTCTCAAGGTAATTGGTTTGTTTAAGTCTATTCACCTTTTCTATTTGTCCTTGTCTCTTGTAGTACTGGAAATTCTCTCCATCGGCCCAAAACTGACGTATGTACTGCAGCACCCATTGGTTGTCGTAGTAACTCCTCTGTATTACCTATGGACTGACTACTCAGATCAATATGAAGCCAATGTGAACCACCTGGAACTGTTCAAGCACCTCCGTTTTCCTGACTTTACAGTCTGGCCAGGTAAGGTGAATGACCGGCATTAGTGAACAAAGAGGTTGTAAATTGTTTATTGGAGATTAGATCTGTTCATTTTGTTTGTTTGTATTTCTGCAGACAAATCACCGTAAACTTGGTCGATTAAAATTTGCCGCAAATTACTTACGCCTGACTGAGGTGGTAGAATTTAAACAATTAGAAGGAGAAATTTTGGTCACGGATTGAAATGGAGGCTGATACCATTTATTAGTGAAGACATTGAGGTCAAAACATGCTTTGACAGTGCATATTCCGGGGCATTTGCTCGACTCAATCTCACATTAGTTTGAGTTTGGGCCCTTATTCGGGACAATTGTCAGTCAACCCCTTGTAGCTGACCAAACCACGTACTTTGTAACTGTGATGGCACAGATACAAGAAAATGAAACTATCTATACATAGCAAATTAATGCCACTAGTGTAGCCTGAGTTTCGATAGAGGATAGATGTACTGAACGCTTGTTGAGTACTGCGTGTCGTAATGCTGGATGGAATAACGTATGCCTGTCGATGCATCTGCGCGCTGCCGACGGGCGATAACCATGTTACCCTTGAACAATTTTTTGATTGGCTGCAATAACCCTCCCAGACAATCATTTCGTGCACCTGTTATCAAACTACAACAGAACGTCGTGTTCCTACGCCTATGTTCTGGCAATCTCGCTAGGCAAGAACATCTACGTTTCTTTCTAAAGATCGATTGCGTTTCGTAGATCGATTGTGAAAATTCTGTTCCTCCATTTTCATTAAGTATACAGATATTCAAATATCAAGGATAGCGAATACAATTTCCTTTTGCAAACACTAAATGATTTTTCAAGTTTCTCGCAAAATTTGAACTTTTTAAGTCTTTCGAGTAGAGATGAAACAAGACGGCTGATATTTAGTGGCTTTTGGCCGACCAGCAGGTTTCCTTTTGCCAGATTGTGTCCATTGCAAGATGATGTTGGGTTATGAACCCGATCCATTCTAACTACGTACGTGTAATGAACACTATATCGAGGCTTCTCTAATTAAGTGAGTAATCTTAACTCTTTCTGATTCGCCAATTTGTTGCTTAGCAAT